ATTAAGAATTAATTTATTGAGATGGATACTATTTTAAAAAATTCTGGTGCCTGAATGCCATTGTTCTACTGTCAAAAATGTCCCAGTTCAGACTTGAAGTTTCCTTGGAACTCTTAAATTATGGACAACTAGAAAAATGCAAAAACAAGCTGAGACATTGAGTAGTGGCCTGCAATCAATGGGAGTCTCAAGGGACAGGAATTTGTCTAAAACCCTGAGTATTCCTAGAACTTAAGTGTGTTACTTACAGCGCAGAAGACAAGAAGCAGATATTCTCACTTCCTGGGTTGTCTCCTGATACCCTTGAGAGAGATCAGAAGCACAGCAATAAACTATTTTATGGGTATATTTGATTTCTGGGTTTCTTTGTTGGAGAAAGAAGCATATCCCAGCAAAGAACTCAGAATCTGAGCATGTAATAGCAGAGTACAGACAGAATTTCCTGCTTCAGTTAGTCTAATTCCATACAAGGCTCACCCTTGATCTGGAGCTATACCAAAAGAGTCCTTATTGCTTGACTCCCAAGTTTGGGTGGTTGCTCGGTGAACCATCTACTTGTTCCTACCTGAGGAGGTAATGCTGGAAGCTCACCATGACTTCTAAGGATGTCTTAAGATGCAAAGAGAAAATGCTCAGCGATTTACCTCCTTAAATGAATTAACCTTTGAGCACTTTCATTCACAAGAAAAAGAACTTTATCCTCTGAGTAGCCTCACTGGTTTTGATGCTTTTTTCAGGCTGAAATTCAGATTTTGAGGGTCGGTACCAGGATACTCTTCCTGGAATGGGGCAAAACAACTTGAACAAGACCTAATTTACAAAGCTATCAATGGTGAAAGGAGAAGGGGGTGTCATGCTGCTCTGGGTGTTGAATAATGCTGAAACCTGTCTGACTCATCGTTTTCATAACTGGGTGAGAAATCACTGACAATCATTTTTATGGTTTGATATATAAATGCTTTGAGAATCAAAGGCTTAGATTTTTACACTGTACATTTGAACCTTGACATTTGATTATTAGACTAAATACTCCCAGAACTACTTTCTTGCACACAAGCCAATTGCCGTATAAGAGTCCAGATACATTTTATTAAACCTTTAAATAAGGTGGACACTTACAAACTACCTTTAGAAATTAGCCCTGGCCTGAGCTAACCTCTGGACTATGTCCAGGAGTTGTTCAGGACATTGCTTGTAAATCCTGGCCAAACTAATGCTGGGAACAGTTGTTCCTGGACATGTTCCAGTGCTGGGGAGCCTTCCAGATACCAGTGCAGCCAGGACTGCACTCTCTCCAGCTTATACTGTAGCTGAATGCAAACAGCTCTTGGCACACCTACTGCCTTTGACACAGTTAATGATTACCTTTTCGTCAGACTCACCTGAGAAGCTTTTTGCAGCAGATCAGAACAACAAAGCAAATTTCTTAAAGAGGTTGAATTCATGCTGGACACGCTTGTAAACCAGCTTTGTATTTCTCTCAGTATGCAGCAATGGTCAGAGTTGAAATGTTCACAATAACTTGCTAAAAGAGTTGTGGGTTTGTAATAGACTGCACTAGTTTATATAACCTTTCCCAGTGTCTTTCCTCATGGGCAAAATTGCCAGAACGTGGCATAGTTTGACTCCAGTCCACCAAAACCTAGCTGTGAGCTACAAACGACCGTTCATTGGCTCCCTGTAAGGAAGGGAACAGTAAAGTACAATAAAGACAATATTGAGGCACTCAGGAGATGGAGTTATGAAGTTGTTAAATAGAATCTAAACAAACTGCTCACTTGTTTCCTGTTTTCTCCTGGGAAGGATAACATACCTAACTGATTTTGGAAAAGTGTTACACCCACGGTCAAAAAAAAAGGCCAGAAGATCAATCCAAAGAACTGCAAGCCTATAGACCTGGAAAACTCATGGCTTGAGTCCTCCTGGAGCACATTTCTGTAACATTAAGAAGTAGATGGTGTCTGGGAATAGTCAGTATGATTTTATCAAGGGTAAATGCCTGTAAAAACTGAGTTACCACAGGGGTCTATCCTGGGGCCTATCCAGTTTAATGTCTTTATCAGTGAGCTGGAGGAGGTGATGGAGTGCATTGCCATCATGTTTGCAGATAACATGAAATGAAGTGACCAGCTGATTTGCTCAGGATGAGGGCTGCAATCCAGACAGACACAGACAGGCTGAAGGAATAGTCCAAAAGGAACCTTGAAATCATTCACTGCTCACTTGAATTACATTGTCTGGAAGAAGAAAAGTTTAAAAAATCAATTTTAAAAAAATATTTTATAAATAATTTTTAAAAATTATTTTATATAAACATAAAAAAACCCCTGGGTTTTGAAAAAATTGTACATTGCCTACAACTCTGTGCTTTACAGCAGTCCTTGTTTCTATATTCACACAACATTTGGCAACTTCTTGAAGGATATGCACAATATGCACACAAAATACTGCTTTCTTATGAAATGTTGGTAACATTTCTGAAGATTTTGTTACCCTGGTGTTTTTCTCGGACTTCCTCTGAATGTTGCAAATGCTAATGCTAAACTGAGATTTTTCAGAGCCTGTAGAGCAAATGTTTTGTCTTTCACTCATGACAAGCTATCGGCTAGCGACATCTACATCAGCAGCATGGAGCACCATCTGCAAGAGGTCCCAGCAGACCACTCTGTGCTGTTGGACCAAGACCTCTGATGTTCAAAGGGACTGTCTTGGAGAACTGGAAAGGTGTCTGTCCCTTAAAAACTGTTCTAGTGTGAGTCTCAACCAGTCACATTGACAATGCTGAACTGGAATAAAACACAGAACATTATATTAAACAAAACCAAATAATTGCTGGTTCATCGTAAACACCAGGCTGTAGACTGTGGCCATTCACATCCTTCTGAAATGACTCTTCCCAGAAGAAGGTGAGACCTATTAAAGGGAAACACAAAAGACTTCATACATCCAAAGGAAGCTGGTGTCCAGGACTGTCAGAGCCAAGACCTGAAGGCAGCCACGGGCCCAGCAGGGCTGTGCTGTCCCTGACCAGGGCCCATCCACACCACCCCATGGGGGAGAGAACAGGCAGCCAAACCCTGAAAAAGAAAGAGTGGGTCTCAGTGCACACAGAGCCCTGATGAATTCATCCAGGCTAGAGTTCAAAATCATAGAATCACAGAATGATTAAGGTGAAAAAAACCTCCAAGATCACTTAGTCCAACCCTTGGCCAAACTCCACCTTGTCAACCAAACCATGGCACTAAGTGCCACATCCAGTCATTTCTTGAACACTTCCAGGGATAGTGACTCCACCACTTCTGCAGGTAGCCCATTCCAATGCTTGACAACCCTTTCAGTTGAAGAAATTCTTCCTGATGTCCAACCTGAACCTTCCTGGTGCAGCTTGAGGCTATGTCCTCTGTCCTGAAGTTGCCTAGGAGAAGAGGCTGACCCCCATCCTGCTACAACCTCCTTTCAGGTAGTTGTAGAGAGCAATAAGATCTCCTCTAAGCCTTTTCCAGGTTAAACAACTTCAGCTCCCTCAGCTGCTCCTCATATGGTTTACAAATGTATTAGTTAAAACTGACTCAGTCCCTGTTTGGGCAGCCTGAAGGTACTAGTGAGATGATACTGCAATATCATCCTCATGCTACCTAGAATCTCACCAAACATGTCACCACAACAGCATGCAAACCCTTCCTGAAAAATTAATCAGGCATACAGACATATTTACATCACAAATATATGTGGCACAGAAGGATGGTTCTTTAGAAAAGTTGCTGAAGGTGGTAGTAGTCACTGAGGTGGCTGGTGGTACCCAAGTAGAGCATTGATGAATAAGCCATTTCAGACCACACTGAAGTGTGACTACACATGTACTAACTGTGTTCTTTTTAGGCTACACAAAATAAGTAAATTAAATCCTTTAATGAGTAGAAGGTTTGAAACATACCTTTCCTGTTCCCAAGGTACTAAATAGGTGGGAAGGATTGAGTCAATGACAGTATGTGGTTCTAGAGACAAAATTCTGCAGCTGAGACCTGCCTTACTTGTGGTCTGCCTAAAGTGTTACTCATTTCACGTATCTAGTTTTTTTCATCCATAACCTCAAGGTTTTAAAATAGAAAATAATAGCAACATGGCCTTCTGGAGGGAATCAGTGGGTAAAACTGGGTAAGACTGAGTAGTGTGGACTGAAAAGCAAAGACGTTTATAATCTGAAAAGTCTGTGAAGTAGTTTGCTATTGGTGGATCTGAGCACATACACTAGCAAAAAGCCCCACTCCTACAGTTTTAGTTTCAAGGATAGCAGGGTTAAGAATAGTTCTTCCTGTTACAGACTAACTACTAAGGACCCTGCCTCACTCCTAAAAGCCTAGGGAATTCTTTATCTTCCTTTTATTGTGCCTATGTTGGGAGTGGAAGGGTTAACTAAAACCACTCTTGCGTCTGAGAGCATCTGAGAACAGCAAGAAGTAAAAAGAATCTATTACATGAAGATTACTTAACTGGATATCAGATATCATGTAAAACAAATGGGGAAGTGGCTAACTCTCAGCATGACCCAGAGCCACATCTAAACTTGCTGGAAGTTAAAGCAAAGCAATGTGGCTTAGACTCCTGTATTTATATGACTGTAAAGTCTTTGGTGAACTTGACATTACATTATTGAGTAAATGCTTTGGATATTTTCTTTTAATTTCTGTAGTCAGACACTTTTGCACCTAATTCATGATATTGTAGCCTAAGATGAAAGCAACCCATAATCGTGCAGTGAGAAAGTTCAGCAATTTGTCAATTTTCCTTGCCATGTCTTTGCCTATAAATAAGCAAGACAGAACTTTCTTGGCTGTTTGTATATACATGCTAAGGATTGGTCATCCTCAGAGAAGAACCTGGGCTGGTGCAGGGGCCAGAATCAACATATACAGACAGTAAGGTCCTGACAGAAATAAGTGATTGTGTTATAAACATTTTCAACACAGACTAGACACACAACACTGCTGTTGTTTCCAGAAGATATTATTTATGAAAATGTCTTTATTTGTAGAAGTGGTATTTCTATTAGCATATTCATATAGTATGATTCTGTTGAGAATTTATGTATTTTTGCATAATGAGTTTACACATTGTGACTATTCATGCTCAGTACATCTGACACAACAGGAAGGAAGTTTGTTGCATGACCAGTATATGTGAAATTGTTAACATCTGCAAATCAGGAAATTTAAGGAAGCTCAAAAGTAGTAAGGGAAATGACAAACTGAGTCACTTTCTAACTTGCAGCATTTGTTATTTAATACTGCCAGACAGTAAAAGAAAATTACCTGGTAGAGCAAAACACTCAGCGATTCCTGCATATGACTACAACTACAGGTTCAAGCATCCTTGTTGCTGCGAACCAAAATCAAACAAGATAAACAAGGAGAGTTTTTTCAAGAGGAGGTATGTCTCTCTTTGTTGTCTATTGAATTTCTTGTGCCACAGAAGATTTTATGCAAGTGTTCGTGAAAGGATTAAGTTAGGTACAATCATATTAGCCCAAGCACAAAATCTGGATTAACTTCCTTCCTGCTTAAGAAAGGCTAGGGAAAATTTTGGGGATGCTTTAGCCTACTTGATTAAAAATATAAATGTCTATATAAAAAATTTCTAAAGATTTCTTCAAGATTCAAGGAAGACTATGAAATGTCTATGGTGCCTGTTGCGCTATTTGACATTTTTCATCTCACATCTATTTTTCAATAATGGAAAGAAATGCTATTTTCTGAACCGCTTCTATAAATCAAACTAAGTAGAAATATGTGGATTTATATTTCCTGGTGAAAAAAATTAAAGTAGATCACAGAACCTTGCGATGTTTGAGGCTGGAAGGCATTTCTGGAGATTGTCCCAACCCTTACTCAGAGCAGGGTCAGATACAGCAGGTTGCTTAGGGCTTTGTTCAATCAGTATCTCCAATGCTGGAGACTCCACAGCTTCCCAGGAAAACCTGTTCCAGTGGTTGACTACGCTCACAGTAAAAAGTGCTTTCTTCTGTTTAAGTCAAATTTGCATTATTTAAGTTTCTGCCCATTGCCTCTTGTCCTGTCATTTGGCACAGCTGAGCAGAGTCTGGCTTCATCTTCATCATTCCCCACAGTTGGGTATTTGTATACAGGGATAACATACAGTAGTAATTTTCCCAGAGTCACTCAAGCAAATTAGTCACTGTCTCAGGTAACATTTGCCAGTAGCATTCTGCACTCACAGCCTAAGAGCAAAGACAATAAACTGTACAGACTAAGAGAGTTAGAACGGATAATGCTAAGTCAGTATTTAGCGGGTGCTTTCTGTACTATAGACTATGTGACTGTATTTTCCTTCTGACATACTGATTAGGTGGATGAATTAGGTTTATAGCAAACCCCTCTCTTGGAGACAGCTAGGCAGTGAGCTAAGGGTTGAGAAGTAGAGAAACCAGGTGTTTGAGTCTCCTCTGGGGCCCTTCCCCATGTAGCAGGTTAGACACATGCTTGTGAGGCTGGCCAGGGTAGAAAAAGGAAAGAAGCAAAGCAGAAAAAAGCATACAGTTTGTGGGCTTTCATCCTAATAGATTCTATGTTACATCCTATTTTAATGAAATATGAGGAAATTATGCTTACACAAGAATACATACGTTCCTTCTAGTCTGACCCTTCACGTAACACTCACAGTTTGAAATAAGCGTGTGCTCCTTCCAGCACCTTCAATACCAAGGTCTATTCAGTAGCAGAGAGAATTTTACCACTCCTATCTGCAGAAGATCAGTCTGGGAGAGGGTGGAGGTTCCGGAGGTAGAAAGTTCCTACAGATATGGTGCTGGAGCCACTTGCTTGGCTATTGTGCAGAAGGTATGGCACTGGTCAGGTAAATGGCTTAGGGCTCACCACAGCTCTTGTATCTCTTATCCTGCCTGCAGGCACAGAAAAGCCAGAGGACCTGGCTATGTGTTGGTGTATTCAGGTGGAGTGACAGAGAGAACATAGGCACAAACCAACACTAATCCTATCCTGGCTGATTTGTAAAGTAAAGGTTGAGTGATTTGACAGATGAGCCAAAACGGAGAAAAATATGCTTAAGGGGCAGACTAGGAGGACAACAGGTCTTGAGTTTCCCATGGGAATTAGTGGGGAGATTCCTGAGAGAATGGAAAAGTGGAAATAACTACTGAGACCAATACCTCACATAGCATTTCACAGCCAGTCCTCCATACTGTTTGTACTTAAGATTCTTCAGTATCAGTTCCCAGCAGCCATGGCCACATCCTTACTGTAGCATAATGATTTACAAATATTGATGTCACAAAAGATAAGCAAAGAAGAATGAGGTTACTATGAAGAGTCTATCTCTGTTGAAACCCCAACATGATGTCCTGGCCTGGCTTGAATCCTGGAAACCACGATGGACATGTCCTATCAAGCCAATTTCCAGGAAATGTGATGTGCCTCCTGGAAATACTCAAGATTTCCAACTCATGCAGAGTTTCTTCTGCATGCAAAAAAAAAAACAAAACCAGAAAAATAAATGCTGTCAATGGAGAAACCTTCTCCAAAGAGTTTTAACCTCCCCCTCCCTCCCCTCCCTCCCCTCCCTCCTCCCTTCCCTTCCCCTCCTCCTTTCCCCTCCCTCCTCCTCCCCTCCCCTCCCTCCTCCTCCCCTCTCCTCCCCTCTCTTTTCTCTTCTCCTCTTTTCCTGTATTTTCCACTCTTCTTGTTTCTTTTTTTCTCTTCTCTTTTCTTATTCTTTTTTTTTTAATATTCTATTCTTTTCTTTTCTTTCCTCTTCGACTCTTTTTGTCTCTTTTATTTTCTTTATTTTCTTTCTTTCTTTTTTCTTTCTTTTTTTTCCTGAGGTTTTTATTATCTCTTTCCAGAGAAGAAAATATGTTTGATAGTTTTGGACTCATCTGCATGATTGTGATTCTCATTCATCCCTTGCATGCTGACATCCAGTGTATGGAGTGTAAGTATGTTTTTGCAAACATAATAAATAAGTTTTAATTCTTTATTTATCGGAGATATTTGAAATTAAATGGCAATTATCATCTCCAAACCTGACAGAAACTATCCTCTGCATTCAACAAAAGAAATAGCTTATCCTTACAGAACTTATGCTGTATCACTTCCAGCAGAAGCACAGAAATCACCTATTACAAATGTGAATGTGGACTGGAGAAAAATGGAACTGTCCTGGGAGAGCAGCAAGAATTTCTCCACGTATAAATGTACCATCATGGACTGGCACATGGAAGACAGAGAGGAAGAGGTAAACTTGCTATTCATTGGGATAAACAATTGCACCTTTTTCTTTACTGTTTATCAATTTCACTTGAAACAGTCGCAGATAATATCTGTGGGGTTCTGCACTCTACAGCTTGATATATCAGGGGCTGTGGAAAGCCATCAGCAATGTCAGGGTGCATTTACTGCGAGAGGAGCATCCTATGCACACGACAGAGCTGAAGTTCTGGCACCCAAGTGAAAAGGAAGTGATAGCCTGGACTGTGTCTACACTGAATCATGAGTAGGGATCTTGCTGCTGAAAAAAAAAGGGCTGTCAGACTAAGTGAGACTTCTAGCAAATTTAGAGAGACAGAGTGAGAGACCTTTCAGATAAAAAATTAATTCTGCTAACACTGCCATGGATTCTCATTACCTCAAGTTCTTCACTTGTTTCCCAGTAAACTGGATCATGCTTGTAGAATAGGTTATGTTATAAACCCACATTACCCAAGGAGAAAAACAGGAAGCTTGACAGAATAAGAGAGAAGATTTCTATTTTGCTTAATCCTTTGATTAAATTCCTTTGTGGCTCCCTTATTCATTAATCATCTTCTGTTATGCCACTGGGGTACTATTAGCCTTCAATAAGAGTTGCACACTAGTGTAGTATCCAACTCCTGAGCTGCAAAGCTTTTTGTTTTGTTATGTTTTTGATCCCTCCGTTCCTTTCTACATCACCCTGGAGTGCTAAAGGAGAGAGTTAGCTCTTGAGCCTAAAACGTACATCATATACATGGAATTGAGTTCCTGAGTTGCACTTCCACAGCCAGCATCACCTAGCACCAAAAGAGGAGAAGCAGAGAAATAAAACATCAACATGTTCTTTTTCAGGTGAATAGTCCACTATGCAGATTTCCAGTGGAACTATACATGCCTATGCACAAAGGGGTACTATTTATCATTGAAGTGCCAAACACAAACATCTCAAAAAAATGCACCTTTCTCCCTGGAGGTAATGTCTGGCTAAAGTTTTCTCCATTTGCAATCTTTTAAAGGTAAACATTGCCTTAGAAAACAGTTCCTCACACTTTAGGTAGCTGCTATATTTTCTTTCTTCTTTTTTTTTTTTTCAGATTTGTTAAAATTATTTGCTCTGTAATGAATGTCTCAAACATTCCTCAAGAGATGCATTACCACAAGTGTATCCACAATTGCACTATTCTTTTTTTGACTAAGGCTTCAAAAGGCCAATAAATAAGAGGGGTTTAAGGGTGGATTCAGATAACTGTTCTGGCTGTTACAAATTAAGATATTAGTGCTCATTTGTTTATTAAATGCTTGCTGGGCTGTTGGTGAATTTGTTGCAACCCATTGTGCCCCTCCTTCTCAGCTCAGAGTTCTCCACTAAAATTTCCTTGTCAGCAGTGTTCCTGACACTATGTGTACCCAGGCTATTTCAGCCATGACAGAGGTGATGAGATTAGCAGCTTGCTCATGTCTAAACAGAGAAAATACTCCCTGCTCATCTCTTCCTCTAGACTTGACAGAGGAAACACCAATAGTGACTCTCAAAATACAAGCCAGGACACACAAAACTTGTGGCCCTACCTTCCAAAGTGTTTGGGCTCCTCAGGATTTCCCCGTGCTTCCACAAGGGTGCCCTAGGTAATGGGAACCAGAGGGGGTTGGAGTCAGTAGCAGAGGAAGTCTCCACCCTTTCACTGAATTTGGGGAATACCACAGAAAGAAGCAGAAAACTGGTTGAAGGAGAAGAGAAAAGGAGGCTGAGCATGCTCACACAGCCTGGCCACAAGGGAGCATCCAAAGACACGTTCCCACTTCAATGTGCTCCAGAAGAGGAACAGAATCAATAAGTCGCACACACGAGGGTGGAAAGATCTAAGGAGGAAGTTGCTTGATCGGAGAGCAGGAAGAAGTCCAAATTTGCTTTTAAAAGTCTCAGCTTTTTTAGTCCTCTGTGTAAACACTTTCAGGAGTGGATTCCTGAGCATTAATTGCAAAAGGAAAAATGCTTCTCTCTGTAGCAGCACAGTTGGTGATAAAAGACAATGTGCCTTCCTTTCTGTGCCTGAATGCTTTCCTTACTGACAAGTTTCACAGTTAAGAGGCAGCTAAAATGGAGTGATAGTTTCTCTCAGTTTTCATTCCTGACTCAAGTAATAACTAACTGCACTTGCAGGCGTCTAACATATCTAAGCATGTGTCATGATCCTTCAGCTTGGAGAAGGCATAGGATTTTTCCTCATCACAGATATTCCTCTGTTTGCAGGCATGAATGGGTCAGCCATTGAAAATTTCTCCTGTGTGATTTATAACATTTGCCTCATGAACTGCACTTGGCAGGCAGGAAGGGCTGCTCCAGCAGATACACAGTATTTTCTCTACTGGCAGAACTCAAGGTAAGTAGGTCTGCTCGAGTCAGGGACATATGAATTCTCATTCAACACATCACACTGCCCATGTTTCATTAAAATACCTTGATTTATACAGAGATGATGGGGAGATGGAATGTGAGTTTTACATTAAGGATGAAAATGGTCGAAACGTAGGATGTAGATTCCAAAATGTGAGGATAGAGATTGATAAAGCTTACTTCGTGGTGAATGGGTCTAGTAAAGACTCCCTGATCCAGTTCTATGATGAGTACATTGCACTGTATAGAATTGGTAAGTAACTGAACATTTTTATTTTATCACTGGTTTAAAAAATAAGGAAGTGGTGAATTTTTCTCTGCAAATAAGATTAAAACAAAGTCTGTGGGCCATTGCAGGATCCTGTACTGCAGGACAGACTTTGCTCCCAACAGCTTACAGAATATAGTTCCAAAAATTAAGTAAAACAAGCAAAGGCAGAGGCAGCATGAAACAACTACTCGGAGAAGTGGTGTGAACATATCCATGGATTCCAATTAATGAAACACAATGGTTACACTTTCAAGACCACCTTTCTGATGGGCTTATTTTGCCATCCCTTAATCCCACACCTCCTTGAGACCCACAAGAGCTACATGTCCTAAAACCAGAGTGAGGGTTCAATTTGCAAATTAAGACTGTGTCCGATAAATATGTGCAAACTAGGTGCTTAAGCTCTAATAGAGATCTGGGGTGGGATTTAGTTGCCTAGAAACATGCCTCTAGTGCCATTTGAGACACACTCAGATACTTGAGGTATCCACCAGGCTTGCAGATGTGACCCAGGACCTATGAGATACCAGGGTCCTTCTGAGTGTCTTGTGTGGTCTGTTTTTTGCATGAACTTCAGTTACTTCAGATATCCAGCAACTGCAGTGATATATTCCCAGGTTTTGGTACGGTATTTTGCTGCTGTTTACCATATAACTTTTGTTAGAATCACTAGCACACAGTTGTACATCAGTTGCCTCACCCTGACATGTATTTTGCTATGAAGGTATGAATGGTAACAGATTACTGACCATGCCTAATTAATTTTTATATTTTTTCTCCCACCAGAAATACTCACTGCTCCATTAAATATCACTGCCCATTGTACTGGAGATTCAGCAGGCTGCATAATTACATGGCATCCACCCCTTACAAGTCATGTGAAAAAAGTAGAGTGTTTTCAGTATGAAATTAGCATACAAAATAAGGTAAAAACAATTTCTTTGTTTGTCCGCGTCACTGTACCTACACATGAGTATCTATAATGTGCAAACTTCTGATTCCTTTATTTATTACCTTCTTTCTCATGACCTGTGGTGTCCTCCTGCTCCAACTCTGCTAGTCTCACATCCTGTCTCTCACAGTCTTTTTTCAGACTCCCCAGAGATGCAAAGTAGAAAAGCAGAGGAGAGCAGGGAAATGTTATGAGGGCTGTCTGTCTTGAGAATACTTGAGAAAGACTTGAGAATACCTGTGATGCTTTCCTGCATAAGCAGATGTCACAGGAGGAACGACTGTGTGACCTGCAACAAGGTCACTGGTTTGGTGGCAGCCTCCAGCCTGAGCTCCTCATGCTCACCCGGGTTCATAAAATCATTATTAAGGTTGGAAAAGACCTTCAAGATCATCAGTTGCTAACACAGCACCATAATCACCACCACACCATATCCCCAAGTGCCAATGCCTTTTGAACACTTCCAGGGATGGTGACTCAACCGCTTCCCTGGGCAGCCTGCTCCAACGCCTGACCACCCTTTCAGTGAAGAATTATTTCCTCATATCCAACCTAAACCTTCCCTGGCGCAACTTGAGGCCATTTCTTCTCCTCCTAATGTTTGTTACCAGGGAGAAGAGACCAATCCCCCCTCTGCCACAAGCAGCTGTAGAGAGAGAGAGAAGGTCTCCCCTGAGATTGCTTTTCTCCAGGCTGGATGTTTTACCATTACGTGATTTCCACACATGGATGACACCTGTGTTGGGACAAATGAGTGCTCCCTACCTATCCCACTTCCCAGCTGCAGCTCATAAGCTTACAGCCGTGGCAATTCCTCAGGCACAAGACCATTACAGGAAAGATCAGCTAAGGGTTAAACATAAATATACAACTGAAATAAAGCAATACACCATTAAATCTCATTCATTCAAAACAAGGCCTACAGCTTGCAGGCTGTAGCTTTTTCAGGGAGCAATTGCAGTACACATAGCTTTCCAGCTTGGTAGGTATAATTTGACAGGAAGATCTTGTGTGAAATACTTATAATTTTTTACATAAATATATAGGTCACAACATATGAAAGCAATATTATAAAAAAATTTATTTGAAAGAAATACATATTACCTCTTCTTTCCCGTGCCACAGTCAGAAAGGGTGGGGTTCAGTGTCGATTGCTACATTTGGGTGTGAAATTCATCTTGCAGACTGAGACACCTTAATGTAGGTGTCTGCAAAGGAGTACAAATATCCCCTAGGAGACAATGCATTTCTAGGGCTCCCTGCTGCGGAGGGGATCATTGTCCTTGAGGGACTAGAGGTACTGAAGGTACCAGAGGTATCTACATGGAGATGGCAGACAGAACTCACACACCTCTCAGGAGGGGCCGATAGAGGTAAATGGCACTAAATTAAAGTTTAATTAACTCATTTACACTGCACCCATTCACAGCACAGGCTGATTGACTTCCATCATGTCCTCAGCTGAAAGAGCTCAGCTGACAATGAATGATGAGGAAATACTAGTCTACATTATAATTCAAGAAATGCAGTGAGTGTATATTCTGTAATGAGACATTCCTTCCAGTTACACCTTTCTGACTTTTCCATAATGTTAGCTATCCTCCTGATATTACATGTGACAGTTTTTTCCAGGACCTCAGCCTTTCAGTGTTTTCTGGGATCATTGCTAACAATCACCGCTGTTGAAACTGTTCACTCATTTTTGAACCTATCCTTTTTTTCCCCAAAATTTTCAGGTTCTTTGATCCAGGTCAATGTTTGATTCCAGTTAATTAAATTTTGATTGTATAGGCTGTGTAAGTTCCTCTTCACTGTACTTGGGGTAAAGCCCTTGAACACAGATAACATAGACTGGAAGGAGGTTAAATTTGCTATTCACATAATTTTTCTGCCCCATGTTATCAAACTCTTGTGAAATCACAGCTTCCAGGCCTGCTGCGTGTGTAGGACGGTGTGGTTGCTTGTGTAATTTGGATATACTACTGCTAGATGACAATGTAAAGTCTAAATATGGCCTTAGTGGCAAATACAGCTTCTCACATCTACCGATAACTGGTTCATGTTTCCTTCTTTTTCTAAGAGGAAATGTAGGAAGCCAAAATTCTGAATAAAATACTGTTATTCAGGACATTGCTGAGAAGACTATCTAATTTTTCACTTTAAAATTACTTACGTTCTTTAAAGGCAAGAAAAAGAGAACCAGAAAGAAATATTTTATTATTTGACAGGAAAATAATAAAAATGAAGATTTGTCTTTGTTTTGCAGGATGAGCCCAAAGAAGAGAAAAAGGTTGTAAGTATTCTTGCCACATACAAATTTGTGGGTTTGCTCACTTAAGCATATACATACAATTACAGAAAATATACTTCTAGAACTCTAAAGTTTGCATCTGTAGCTAAGGACAGCTAGTCAAAGGGAGCATAACAGTCTTCAAAACCGTCAGTCTTTCCCAGGGAAATGAGTGGTCCTCTGAGCCTTGGAAAGGCTTGACAGATTCCAGACTTTATCACGAGGCCAGATAATACGTATCTGTGTTGTACTGTCTCAAATTGTGTCTTTAGCACAAACAGACACCATCCAGGGAATATTTGCATGTTTTATCCCCAAGAAGGCTGCAAGGGGAGTTTACAGGGTACTTCTGCAGTTTCTGCTTTGTGTCTTTCTGATTTTTTTAGGATCCATAAACCAGAACAGGGGGAAAAAGTGTCCTTAAAGTATAATAAAATAAATCAAAGACCCAATAAACTTCAAAAATCTAGATCTAACCTTAAAAAAACAGAAAGTTTTGATGGTAGGATAAATATTTAATTAGTACATAACTAAAAAATCATACAAATTACTTTTTTCTAGAAACTGTATAATGAAATTAAACCCCAAATTTTGTTAATGTTTTGTTAATATGAGGCGAAATGCACAGTCTGATTACTTTGCCTCTAGGTAAGAAATGCCAGATATGAATTCCAAAATTACAATGAGAAAAAAAGATACATTCTGAAAATCAGAGCACGTGGAGCAGAATGTCTCGTAAGCTCAAAGTGGGGGGAATGGAGTGAACCCATTGAGTTTGGTAAGATTACGAAATTTTTTTTTTTTTCAGTATTACCTTGTTTGCTTCCCTTTCTCCCTCACAGTCAAAGAAATGAATAAAATCTTAATTCTTACCCTTACGTGGAAGGAACTGGGTGGAAGTTATTAATACGGAAGAGAAGCTCCAGTTCTCTGGCAGCAGAGCCTTTGGTTAGCTGGGATTGTGAGTTACTCAGATGCCAGAGCTCCAGGAAACAGACCCATTCTTGCTTTTGGTCTGAAGTGATGAGGATGCCTCTCAGTTCTTTAAGTTTTTACAATAAATATTATCCCCTTCCTTCTGCTTCTTTCTTTTTACCCTTTCCACTAATTTTGTTCACTTATTTGTTCTGCAACTCTGGTTATTTTTCTTCTTTTCTGGATTTTTTTTTCTGTAAATTTTTAATATTTGAAATGGTTTAAAATGCATCAAGTCAATCTGAATTTTTGCCAAAATTCTGTAAGAAAGTCAAGTTGAAGTCCTTTGAATATTTAGGAAAAAACTATGAAATTTGCATTCATTACTGACAGTCTCACAGGCAGATTTTTGGTATGCTAAGATATTTCTCTCTCTTGGATGTTTCAGGTCAAGGGAAAGATTACTTTATTTTTGTGGTTTTATTTCTGATAGCACTTGGAACAATCTCAGTGACACTGCTCCTGCATTGTCTTTTCAAAAGGTAAATCAACCTTTTTTTCCTAGATACATTGATAGATTATCTCTATGAAACACATTCCTTCAATCTCCTACTTTCCTACCTGCAAACTCAATCTGATTACTGATGTCAAAATGTGTTATCACCAGTATTGTTTTGGATAGCCTTTTCACCCACAAAATCACTACAAGTGAAAAAGGGAGAAAGGGTATTGAAGTTACTAAGTGGATCCTGGATTCCACCAGATCCTACAAAAGCTTTTGTGTTCTTATTTTTAAGCATTGAACATCCAGGTTGCTATGAAGCCACTGGCTGCATACAGTACCAGGCAAGAGGGAATGCAGACAAATTAATGTGTCGTTATTTTGATAAAATTTCTCACTCAGTGGTTAAAGATAGTTATGTCATGTGATTTATTAAAAGCCATTGATACATTAAGTATTTGCTGTGAGTCTCATCACAAAATAAATTGTTGTTACCCAAGTGGTAAGTGTACTAACAGTTACCCACTAGTTAACCCACTCAAAATATTTTCTTTTCACTTACTTTGTAGAGCAATAGCTATTCAATCCTGAAAGTAAAGAATATCCTTAAATTATAACACACAATGTTTGTGTAAGTTATATTACCAGTGTTTTAAATCTTTCCACAATCCCATCTTCTATCCAAAGGTATTGCAGTCTCAGGAACATACTTCCTCCTATACCACAACCGAGAGACAAATTTAACGCACTAACCAATGAAGATATCCAGGTACGGTTTCTTTTCAATTCAGTCAAATTTGTAAACTCTAATCCACAATAGGCCAAAGACTAGAACTGACACATAAAGTAAGTGTTACATTTGGTCCAATGAAGACCAATTCCTGTCACGCAGGGTATTCCACAGTTTCCAATAAGGCTTTCAAAAGTGGCACAGAAATTTTCCTTCAATTGTTTACAAAGAATCCTCAAAGCTCTGACTACTAAAACTCTCTAGTTTTGGTAACTATATACCAGCACATTGTCCTAATTTATTTGGTTTTGGTGCTACCACCTTTGGCTTCACAGAGGGCAGGTAGGAATGTGACATGGATAGGTTTCCTCATACACTTAAAATCATAAACACCTGGTATCTCACTTCTTACCAGGCTTCCAGAGCAGCAGCCGTCCACAGTCCATCATATTAAAATAATAAGAGCTAGTACAGTAGCAAGCAGTCTTTCAAAAATTGCAGACTCTCCAGATTGCTTGCTTTTCCTAAACTTGAGGGGCTTCCAAATTTCTGTGCATATAGTACCAGACTTAACCAAATCACTCCATTACAGCCCAGAGGCCTTTGTGGATGTGGTTTCTAAATGCTGGCACAGGCTCTTCCATGCAGGCAACATGTTAACAGCAGCAGTTGCCAGAGTTAAAGTGAAGCCCTCAGGTTGCTTCATACCTGCCAACAGGCACCATGAAGGTAATTCATACAATTTCGACACGTTTAAACAGCTTCTGGACTCCTCATTGCCCATTTTGATCTAGTCTTAATTTTATTATACTTCTTCCTTCCATGCTCAGTTATCTTTTTAACACTGATTGAATGCTGTAACTCTTCAAAACAGACAATAAAGTACAAAAAGGGTATTTTCAAGATCTCTCCTCTACCGAACACCAGAACACTCTCTCCCCGACATTTAGTGCTAATGGATTTATGAGTTATTTTGAAACGTGTAACTTGCTAATCACACCTCTTTAAAGCTTGCATTTCTTTGCTTTGCCCCTACTTACTCAATGACATTTTCTTGGTTTTTTTCCTGTTTTACTATACTTTTCCCTAGATTACTGAAATATCTCTATTTACAAAATCCCAACTTTTCTGCACTGAATTTGCACTTGCATTCTTAAAATGCTCATGTTAGAAAATGCCAATACTGTAAGTTCCTACCAACTAAATCACTCAGTGCATCAGACACCTTGCATCCCTCTAATCCATTTTACTCATCTTACTACCAAAGTCTGATGACATTTTAGTCACCCTCCCCAGATACTTTCTTCACCCTCACTCAGAAGTCTAACACTTAAGTTTTCCTCTTTTCCCAGATCAAACGCATTCCAAGGACTTGAAATACACTCTTTGTGTGTTTTCCTTGTGCATAGCCAAGTAGCACAGAACACCATGATCATGAAGTCCCGCAATGCTTAACCAATCCCTCAGATTTCCTAGAAGAAAAATCCTAAGACATCCCAGCTTGATCTTGTCACATACCACCGGCTTGCTTTTCCTTTAACTTTTAACTTATCACCCCAGTACTATCCCTCCTACCTTTTTTTTTTTTTTTCAATCATACTTGTCTCCTTTCAATACTTTCAGCTCTGAGTGCTGTATCAGTACCATGATCTTACCTGGCAACATTCACTCTCCTAGAACTCCAGGTTAATCAACGTAAAAATGTGTAATAGCAACAAATATTTTCTCTAGAAGTCTAGCTACTGCTTACATATGGAAGATTCAGGCAATACTCACCGAATAAATTCCTTCTATTGTCTCAGTTAAGGCGGTCCAGCATTTAAATAAAATTTGATTGTTCTTCTGATGACAAACAGCTAGTACTGACTGTACATATTAAAACAATCCTTAACACCATTTTCTCATGCTTTGCAAGCATCTCTTCAAGTAATGAAAAGAGCAAGGTGAGGCACCTTTGGTACTGGTGTATCTAAATGTTCTCTGATTATCGACAGCAACTCTCTAGCTTACTGCGTGTTACAGAATTTTTTTTCTCTTTAGACAGGATATGTAAATCTACCATCAAAAAGTCATACCGAGGAAGTAACTATAGTTGAAGAGATCACACAGCTTTCCAAGAAGAAAACACGCTGATTTCCCAGCACAAAAGAAAATCATGGATCCTGCTCAAAAGCACTTCACACCAGCCTATAAATGAATATAATCGCCTATACCCACCTATGTTGGTCCCATAAAAATCCACTTAAATGGAGCAGGTGAAAAAAGCAGAGAGAAATCTGTGAAATTTGTTCTTTGCCCTTTGTTTGAAAAAAAAATGCCTGGCAGCCACACTTTTTCTGCAAGTGCCTACTTTGAAGACATGCTTAAACCTTGCTAGGATGTTCTTCTCAAATTGAGACAAGGCCTCTTATCCAGAAGAAACTCATTTCCTGTCTTCATTGCTATGAAACTTCTTTCCTCTAAGGGTTTCCTATAAGATGACAGGCCTGCTTAAGAATGGCACAGTAATTTTATCACCTTATAATTTTTATATGCTCAGGGTTTTTTATAGCAGAAACCATTCAAAACGTGTTTAAAATTGCCCTTTAATCTTACAACCAGCGATACCAAAGACAAAAATGGGAAATAAAATTACACTTGTCAAATGTAACTATTAATACTGGTCTGCCAGTCAGCCATTTCATGAGCTCAGTACGGCCACTGCAAATACAGACCTCTGCAACACTCCGATCTTCTGCACAGGCCTAGTATGTGCTTAAATAACAGACAACATTTAAAGCCTTCAAAAGCATCTAGTTTCAACAGCTGTGAGGACTGAAAATCTGTAATAAAGATTTAATAGCCACGTTTTAGAATCCCTTCAAAGGGTGCACATTCAGTTTCCAACATCTTTTAAAAATAATATAAGCTTTAGATGCCAGAACTTTTACACATTCTGGCTGTTTTCCTGTTAACATTTCTCAAAATGAATTGCATTGCAGTGTTTCCATAAGGCAGAAAACAAATGCTTTTTTTAAAAGACTCATTTACTGTTCACCTCATGTTCCTAAACTTCATCGTGCATTGGAAATTGCTGCTGCATGACTGAGGGAAGCCATATATTAAAAAAAAAACCAAAACAGCACAAATTAGTACATGCTGAATGCACAGCATAGGGAAATTACAGTTCCATGTTAAAACCACCTACACTTGCATTTATTTTTCTATTTTTTGTGGTTAAAACCTAGTTCTCGAGAGGAGAGGGAGTGGAAAAGTCCTATCCTTTTCAGGGGCTGCTCAAGTAACTGCCATGTTTGGTTCCTCTCTTAAAGTCTGGGCCAGGAAACACTCACCGTGAATGGCATCTCACCATTATCTGCCATTTCAAGCCACTGATACAGAAAATAAACCTAAGCAACGTGTTATATGGACAGAATGTCTTTCCCTGCCCCCGCCATCAATATGATTATAAGTGAAACAGCAAGTTGATTGGCAAGGTCAACATCAAATGACCTGCCTGCACCACAGGGAGCTGCAATTACCAAAGGAGATGAAAAAGCCACTTGCAGGAGGTACATAAAGTTTGGCACTAGGCTTGTGAACAGAGGAGCTGCCTAATGTCCTTACATTCACATACATGTTGAAAGCAGCACTTATGCAACAGTGAAAGGAAAAAGGTAAAGTACTTCTTGAGAGGAAAGTAATAACCAGCCAAAGCCAAGTAGTTAATTTAAATACTTCATCTTGAATAGCAACCTCAGAAGGCACAGAAAGAACTCAAGACAGCTCAGTCAGCCTTCAGTGATTCATACAGTGACACGCTTTTTCCAGATATAGGGAGAGTTCTTAAACCACAAAGATTAATACCTTGTTTTCCTTTACTAGTCCCCCTATTGTTTTGGCAGATTACAAAGTATAAAAGATTATTTATATACATATGGAGAACAGCACACAGGTATTACACTACCTCGAATAGCAGTATGAGAAATTACTGTCTGGTTTTGGTCTTCTGACCATCCCAAGACATCAATCAGTTAATACTGAAGGCTGACCTACCTTGATCTATTATTTTACAGCAATATAGAAGCAGATACGTTCCCTCCCACACACCCCATCAATGTCATCTCTTAGAATGAACCTCATTTCAGATTAAATTCAACCTTCCAGAGAGGTACTAGCTGACCACGGCTACAGATGAGGCCAAACAGTATCTTGAATGGCACAATCAACATTTCCAAACAGCAGCAATACAATACATAGGTCACTCAGAAGTTGAAGGCATTTACTGGGTTCCTGGGTTTTTGCATGAATGCCATGTTGCTTTGCATTGTCAATTTAATTAAAAAAAAAATTATTTTAAGCTGTTTAACCAAGGGCAAGAGCATTACTTTTTGACAGTTCTTGGGTCTTTGGGTTCTGCTAGCACAATTGAAACACCCCCCTCACCCATCATTTTAAATCATATGAGAAGCTGCAGATCAATTTGTCATGCAAATAATTTCTCAAGAATCATGCAAAAAGCCACTTGAAGTAGCCCATTGTAGACCATCAAGCACAAAGAATGGGACTGATCTCTATCAGTACAACCCATGCTTCCCCAACCCTCCCCATAAGATTCCCACATTCCATTTTTTTTAAAGCTTAATTCTATTACAGAATGCAGTGGAAATGTATCAGAGGAACGATTATCTGAAACAAGTTTTCAAACAAAAGAGGCTTTCCCAAAGCTTTTATGTAATAATTTCAACACAGACAGAGTAAGTATGTTTATTGTTTTACAGCAAAATGCCCCAATTTAAGAACAAAATTGCTAGATGTTCAGCTGTGCAAAATGGTACATAGTGCTTCAGTACAAGTGGAAAAGAACATGATTTGTTAGCAAATGCTTTCAAATACAATTTTATGGTCCTAGAAGACAGGACTTGAAACTGGAGACTGATCCACAGGAAAACTGTTTTTCTCTGCCTAAACTGGACCTAGCCACTTTGGACCCAGAACCAACACAACTCATTCCTCGTTGCTGAAAAGAAAAGTCAGCACACTGAATTGCCAGATTCAGTGTCTTCATGCATGTTACAGAGAAATGGATCAGTCCCCTATGTCAGTTTCTAGCCCCATCTACAAGTATCATCTGGCTCCGATAAATAAGACTCACAGGAATTTCTTGAAGGTCAATGGTCCATAATGGTAGTTATTCTACATGATCTGCTCAACTTGATTTCCAATTCTAGTTAGGTTGTTTAAATGACTTTCTTGAATTCATCGTACAGCACAAGCACAAAAGCACCCCCCATGCCTCTGAGAACATTGGACCATGCACCCTTGAAGAAGGCCTTTCCTCCCTCATCCCTTGCAATCTTCCGCCAGCAGTCAATCGTTCCAGAGTACATGATATCAGCTGCAGGAAAAGAGCAAAGAGTGATTCTCAACTCCTGTAATTTTATCTCAGATGTTTTTAACAACTGTCCTGTTTCACTTAACTACTTTGTGATGTCCCAAACCACATTTTAAGACTGTAACACAATTCTTAGCACAGGCAAGAGCAAAGCTTCATATCTGCTTGCCTAGTTAATAAAAGCTGTCACAATGTAAAAATGTTAAGCTTTCTTTTTGGCAATTGTGCTATCCCCCAATTACTGTAATTTAATTTGTCAACACAAATAGGTAGTCCATTTGCCTATTTCATATTAAAAATGAAGTCCCCAGTATAATTCATGCAAAACACAAGTTAAGCCTTACTGCATTTTCTCATTTTCATGTGTGTGTCAAGGTTATTTGTAAAAAATAACTCCATCCTGTTAATGCTGCCTGAACAGCTACACAGATTTACAGCCTACCTCCTTTGCGTCCTGACTGCATCATCATTCTACGCCGCACTGTATCAAAAGGATAGGATACCACACCGGCCACAGCAGTCACCGTCTGGGCAATCATCCAGCTGATAACAATGTGAGTATTTCTGGGATCTGGGAGCATGCCTGCAATAAAAAAAGAGGTAATTAGCTTTTTAACTTGCACATTCTCCTCCAGTTCACACTCACTGCATGTCAGCCACTTTCCTAGATACGTTAGTATGAAACTAGATGGCCTAGTTACAAAACATTACAGAGCCATACTTAAATTGCAACTTCATAAACTTTAAACACATTGAAGCAATCTAAAAAACATCTTAACAAACTCAGAGGATATTCTTCAGTTATCAAAACAGTTTAACGTTTAAGAACAAGGATTCTTTTTAGATTGGCATGAAAAAGTCTTGACTATTCACTACTCTTTTTAAAAAGAAACGTCACTAAATGAAGTCACTGTCCCTGTGGATTACGTTATTACGAACTAGCAGCAATGGTCTACGTGCCCAAATGTCAAGCTTAACAAGTGCTTTGCAAAAGCACTGCTCAATCCCATTCTGCTAAACACTCCTGAACTGGTCCAATGTAACTACAGGAATGCATTGAACAGAAAAGAACTTATTCTAACTGTGTATCATTACCAACATAGTTTGCTGGCATCAGGAGCAACTCCTTACAAAACCAACACTTGAAAGTGGGCTGCTGCCATCAACACATGCCCAAGTTTGGCCTTTAACACTGCAGTGTCACTGATCCTGGCACCGATATCCCCTTCTACCTTCACACAGAGTGTAACATCCCAGAACAGGCAACACAATAGTGAAAACAGGTTTACTGGATCTCTTCTAAGTATTACCTTTTGCTGTATCATAGATCCCGAAGTAGGCAGCTCTATAGATGATGATGCCTTGGACAGAGACATTGAACCCTTGGTACAAGCCTCGCACACCATCAGACTTGGTAATTTTGACTAGACAGTCCCCGAGACCAGAGAATTCTCTGTCTGCACCAGCTTTTCCAACATCAGCAGCCAAACGGGTTCTTGCAAAATCCAAGGGGTAGACAAAGCAGAGGGAAGTGGCTCCAGCTGCACCACCAGATGCCAGGTTACCAGCAAAATATCTCCAGAACTGAGTGTGCTTGTCTACACCTCCCAAGAACACCTGCTTATACTTATCCTTGAAGGCAAAGTTGAGAGCTTGAGTCGGGAAGTATCTGATGACATTAGCCAAGTTTCCTCGCCAGAAAGACAGTATTCCTTGTTCCTTTGGAATACGCACTACACAGTCGATGATACCCTTGTACTGCTTATCAGCAGCAATCTGTTTGCTTGCATGTTGCACCTGCAAATAAAAGTACGTATATTGACCAAATGCCTCGACTGGCCTATCCTATAGCTGGGCTTATGCCTGCTTCTACTATAAAAAAAAAAAAAGCTGCTAATTCTGAATGGGTTAGGGTTTTATTATTGTTAAGAAAACAGCTTAAAATTGCTTCCTAACTTCCTCAAACCTCAGGACTTGCCAAAATAGGGACAGCTGTGAGCAACTCCAATACAACTACCTGACAGGAGGCTGTAGCCAGGTGGGGATCGGCCTCTTATCCCAGACAACTAGCGACAGGACAAGAGCATACAGGCTCCAGCTGGACCAGGAGAGATTTAGGTTGGACATATGGAATAATTTCTTCATAGAAGGGGTGATTAAACATTGGAATGGGCTGCCCAGGGAAGTGGTGGAGTCACCGTCCCTGGAGGTGTTTTAAGGTCAGACTGGACGTGGCACTCAGAACAGGCCTGCCCAGAGGCGAGAGCCCGTACTGACAGGGGAGCCGCGCTGGGCCGGCGGTGCCGCGAAGGTCACCGCAGTCACCTTGGGCGCCGACGGGTCACGCCGGGCCCCGCGCGCCGGCCGCGCCCCGCCCGCCGGCCAATGCGCTGCGCGGGCGCGCGTCACGTGAGCGCCGCCAAGATGGCGGCGGGAGAGGCCGCCCTGCCCTCCCCGCCGTGCCGTCGGCGCCGGCAGCGAGGGCGGCAGGAAGTGACAGCAGGGCCGCCGCCCCCTCCCGGCCGGGCCCGCCCGCCGCGCCGGGCCCCGCACGGCGAAACCGGCTCCGGCTTCCCCGCCGCCGACCACGTGACGTTCCCGCCAGCCGCCGCCTCGCCCGCGCCCTTTGTCCCGCGGCGGCCGCGGCCCCCGCCCTCCCTCCGCCCGACCCTGCGTCCCCACCGGGCCCGGCGCCTGCGGGGGACGGTGACGCGCTCTGCCCGCGCTCGCCGCTTTCGCCCGCGCCGCTGACCTGGAGCAAAAGCTTGACCCGCTCGATGGGCGCCACCGCGGTCTTGCTGATGGCGGCGGCGACGCCGCCCGCCAGGAAGTCCTTGAGGAAGGAGACGGCCTGGTCCGCCATGTTCGCGCGCGCAGCCGCGAGTCAGTGCCGCTGTCCCTCGCGCCGAAAGGGCGGGAGCGCCGCGCGCGTGGCCTTAATGCCGGGCCCGCCGGCCACGCCCCGCGCCGCCCCATTGGCCAGCCCGGCCCGGGGGCGGGGCCTGCGGCGGGCGGGCCCGCCCCGCGCCCCCCGGCTCCGCCGCGCCAGTGTCGCAGCGCCGCGTCAGGCGCGGGGCCCGCCCCGGCACCGCCCCCGCCCGGCCCCCCGGGCACTGCTGCGGTCATAGCGCTGCTCACGCTCCTGCCCACACTTTCCCAATCGCCCAGCGGCTCCCATCTGGTGTGCTGCTCCGCAGCGCCCGGCACGAAGGCCCTGCTGAGGGATCTGGACGGGCAGAATCGATAAGCCGAGACCAGCAGTCTGAGGTTCAACAAGACCGAGTGCTGGGTCCTACACTTCGGTCACGACCACCTCATGCAGTGCTACGGATCTGGAGAAGAGGGGCTGGAAAGCGGCCCAGTGTAGAAGGACCTGGGGCTGCTGGTCGACAGCGGCTGAACAGGAGCCAGCAGTGTGTCCAAGTGGACAAGAAGGCCAGTGGTATCCTGGCTTATGTCAGAAATAGTGTGGCCAGCAGGACCAGGGAAGTGATTCTCCCCCGGTACTCCAGTATTGGTGAGGCCACATCTCAAATCCTGTGTTCAGTTCTGGAAAGACACTGAGGTGCTGGAGTGTGTCCAGAGAAGGGCAACAAAGCTGGTGAAGGGTTTGGAGCACAAGTCTGATGAGGAAGGTACTGAGGGAGCTGAGGTGGTTTAGCCTGAAGAAAGGGAGGCTCAGGGGTGACCTAGTTGCTCTCTACTACCTGAAATGAGGTTGTAGCCAGGTGGGGGTTGGCCTCCTCCCAGGGAACAGTAGACAGGACAAGAGGACAGAGTCTTAAGGTGTGCCAGGGGAGCTTTAGGTAGAACATTCGGAAGAATTTCTTCACAGAAAGAGTGATTAGACATTTGAATTGACTGCCCAAGGAGGTGGTGGAGTCACTGTCCCCGGAGGTGTTTGGATGTGGCACTTAGTGCCTTGGTCTGGTTAACATGGTGGTGTTTGGTCATAGGTTGGACTTGATGATCTTGGAGGTCTTTTCTAACCTGAGTGAGGCAGTGGAGCACTGGGTTTGGGGAGTGGGTCTGTGAGCCCAGATAGTAGTCAATGAGTGAGACAACCACGTGAACCAGGAGGCTCCTTCAGTGGCAACTGCTGGAAGCCAGTGTAGGATGGAGGCATAGCTGCCTGCATGGGGTCCCAGGGGACAGCAGGAGCTCTCAGGTGTGGGGGAGCAGATCTGGGGCACTGCCAGGGCACCAGTGGGTTTCACTTCATGCTCACCACCCTCTGGGTAGTGCTGATCAATGGCATATCCTTATTTCCAAGTTCTGTTCCCACCTCCTCCTTACCACTGCAGTGCCAAATGTCACACGATGGGGCTTTTCTGTTCATCACTGAACTGATCCAAGACAATGAAATGCCAAAGAACTTTCCCATTGTCCCTCTAGGAAACTGTGGTTAAGTGTGGTTCCAGCTTCTTCAAATCTAGATGCTGTGAAAAGCTCCAGGTTTTCACAGTGTAAGCACCCATGGCAGGGTCCCAGCCCCTACCAAGACAGTATTGTCATCAGTAACTTTGCTAATTTTATTGTATGCTGAAAGTGATATTTTGTACCTAATGGTCAAACATGTCTGAAATTATACCTATTCTTTCTAAAAATATTGAAATTGTTCTAGCTGGAGGGCATTAGTTCACACACACATTTTGTTACTGCTTTCACTTTTAATGGCTGTTCCCTACCAAAGTAAATAAAGCCAAACCTTTTCTTTAAACAGATGACTGGTGAACTACAAAGCTGCAGTAGCTGAGGTGCCAGAAACCACTGCTTACACATGTATGTACTTTGCAGGATTTCAAAATGAGCATCTCTCTCAGAGGGCATGTTGTGAGAACAGGATGTGCCAGGCATAGCCTTTGTCTACTGCAGTATACTGTGTGTGTCACTATACTTTTTTTATTTTTGCACAACAAAACATCCAAAGTAAATTGTGTGCTGTTCTATATTCTACATCATAATACAGGCAGAGTGAAGTGACTCCTGTGCTCACACAGGGATAGGCACATATGGATTTACAGGACCATATTTTGGACGTACTTCATGAAAGGCTGTGGTGAAAATATTCAGAGAGGCACCCACATCTTAAGAGTGGTATTTTTCCTTTTAAAAAAGCTTATGACTGAATGTTAGTACCGTTTTTTGCACAACACAATGTCTTCAAGGCTAGGATTTTTTCCCCACAAAATTTTCTATTGATTAAAAAAGAACTTCATACTCTTGAGTATTGTCAATGTGAAAAACAAAAGTAAAATGCACGTACCTTGTGACAGGAAACTGTTTGGTCAATAGCTGCCCTCTCCTGTTCACCTTGGGAGCACATCTGCATCTGACTGGGGAAAATCCTTTTCTATTGCCATGATTTTCCATTTTTCCTCTTTACCTAATCTCATATTCTGCTATCCACTTTTATAAGGAGTAGGATTATGTTCTTGAATCAAATGTGGTGTCCCCACATATAATCTTGTTACAATCACAGGTGAAACTTGTGCTTGGGGGTCCTGGCTGATGGCAAGTTGAATATGAGTCAGCAGTGTCCTGGCAGCCAGGAGGGCCAACCGTGTCCTGGGGGGGCATCAGGAAAAGCATCACCAGCTGATCAAGGTAGGGGATTGTCCCGCTCTGCTCTGCACTGGGGCAGCCTCACTTTGAATATTGTGTGCAGTTTTGGGTGGCACAATATAAAAAGACATTAAGCTATTAGAGAGTGTCCAAAGGAGGGCAACAAAGATGGTGAAGGGCCTTGAGGGGAAGCTGAGGTCTGTCTGAGGTCACTTGGTCTGTTCAGCCTGGAGGAGACTGAAGGGAGACCTCACTGCAGTTACAACTTCCTCATGAGGGGAAGAGGAGGGCCAGGCACTGATCTCTTCTCTGCAGTGACCAGTGACAGAACCCAAGGGAATGGCCTGAAGTTGTGTCAGGGGAGGTTTAGGTTGGATATTAGGAAAAAGTTCTTTACCCAGAGGGTGGTTGGGCACTGGAACAGGCTCCCCAGGGAAGTGGTCACAGCACCAAGCCTGATAAGAGTTCAAGAAGCGTCTGGACGATACTCTCAGGCACATGGTGGTGCTGTGCAAGGGTAAGGGTTGGACTCCATGATCCTTGTGGGTCCCTTCCAACTCAGCATATTCGGTGATTCTGGTGATTGTCTTGACTCCCTCAAGAAGCTGCTGCTCCAGTTCTTGTTTCCAATCTTGACTACACCTTTGTAGTAGCAGTTTCAAGACTTCATTAGAGAGTGTTTATTTACAGTAGAGGGTGTAACATAAAGTAATATTAAAATGAATTGTGATGGAGCATTAAAACACTACCAGCATTAACCTCCTGAAACAGGGGCAAAGCAACGTGCTGGTCTAAAAACTGTATTATTCTAATTGCACCAAGTATGAAGAAACTATGATTTCTCAGCAGTGTGAATACTGTCATCAGGCTGATGACAGCATTTGTGTGCTACAGGTTTTGTGTAGCCACAATATCACTGCCAGAATCTTCTGGCATCATTTTACTGAAGTAAAAAATAAATCAATCTCCCCCCCCCTTCAGAAAGCTGACATAACATTTCTTGTTTATGACATTGATAGGGGTTGAATGTATTTGCATAATTACAAAACATCAAACATTTTTTTCTAGGTCTTAACACAGAGAATGACGTCTAACAAATTTCCTGTAATTCTGATTTTGACATTTGTGAATCCATATTGTTCCAGCAAGGCTTGATATTCAGAGCCACTTCTCTCCTTTCCCTCTGTCTGCACAAGCATGTTCAAAGACTGCAGCAGAGCTCTGCTCCTGTTCTTCTTCTCATCATCCAACACCATTTCAGCCAGCAAAACTGCACAGCCTAATTTAAAAACAAACACACAGAACAGTTCTAATCTATTATCAAGTAGAAAAATTTCTGCTACCATATGTAGGGATGCAAACTACAAGACATGGGTGACTTCCTTTATCATTTATGGATTTGCTCTACTATTACATTAATTATCCACTCCTCTCACAAACCCCAGGAAATTCCCTTTCACAGTATGGAGTGATCACACACAAGTCAAAGCTGTGTGTCCATTTTCAGGGGAAAAGTGGATGACTTCTGGAGACGTGGCACGATGGTTATGGAAAACAGTAAGACAGGAATCAAGTTGCTTCTCTTTGGGATATACTGCTGTTTCACATTCATACTGAAATGGTGACAAGCAGACAAAGCAGTGGACGGCGAACATTATAGAAACAGAGAAGTCAATGTGTCTGTACAATATACTGGGTATATTATTTCTGTAGGAACTGAGTTCTTTGTGGTGGGACTGACCTAAGGATGAGAATAGAACTTAAATGATCCAGTTTACACAGTCTTTTCCTCCATTTTCAGACTTCTGAGGGGAAAGGGAAGCCAAGAGAGGGCTACTGACAAAACAAGCATTGCTTTACTTATGCCTTGCATCTTATGTGGTGGTTTCTTTTGGCACAGTGGGGGTAGGAGGCCACCAACTAAGATCAAAACAGCAGCAGTTTACAGTGATTTTATTACTAAAAGTGATGCATAACATTCATATCTTTCTGACCTTTAAGACAATCTCCTCAGGGCCATTCCTACTCACACACCTCAGATATTTAACAATTGACAAGAAGGTTCAAAACTTAACCCCCTCATTCTTCATGTCTTGAAAATCTCCCTCAGTTATGTGTATTGCTTAAGAAATATTTTCAGTGTTAGACCATTAAATCCACCCCTTCTACCAGTCAGCAAAAGATACCAGCTTTCTCCACAGCAACTGAAAAACTCATTTTGGATATTAATGAGAGAAGATGAGCTTATAGTTCCCTCAGGTGACTGGGCTACATCAAATTATTATAGAACATCTCAGACTGAAACAGACTGCAGGAGACCTCCAGTCCAATCTCCCACTCCAAGCAGGGCAGCGCTACAGTCAG